CTATTCAGAAAGAACTTACAGTCTAGCTGATAATGATGACTAGGAATACACAGAGACATTTACACATTCTCAATGTAAAGTGGTATTGTGTGAAACAGATAATAAGTCTTATATTATTTTTATAAGGGCAGATATCAGCAATACCCAGTGTAGTTAGTAAGGTTCTTATGGCAGAGATAGAAATTTATGTATTTAGAAGTATCTGAAGAGGCCCCCTTCCTAGATTCTGTACAAGATGAGAAATGGAACATACTGAAAATGAAGGCCAAAATATCACCTTCCTTCCTGATAAACAACACATTGATGGATGTGTTTTTAAGTTCTTAACCCAGTTGGGCTTCTAACAATGAATCCCAGAGACTTACATCATAGCTGGTTCCACTGAGTGGGGCAGGAAGTTCCCTAGAAGGAGAATAGAGCTATTAGATGAGTTCACCTCCTCAGGGATGGCGTAAAAGGATATAGAGAAGCTCAGGGTAGAGGAATTGAGCTTCCTTTCACTTGAGATCATCAGGAGTGGGGAAGTGTTCCTAAATTTATACAGGTACAGCCAGGTATTAACAGGAATAATAGATTTACGCATGGGAAGAAGAATAAGGTAGGGTGGGGTGAAGTTTGTCTTACCCTGTTATGTATAGGAGAGCTGTAGTTTTATGCCCATACCCTTATATAATTCTTGTATTTATATTCTGTATTAAAGCATTGGAGAAGAAAAGGACCAATATATTATTATATGGTACCAAAATAAGTCAGTAGAAGCTAATTCAGTTTCCTATTTCTGTTTTTTCCCTGATCTTCCCCTACAGTGCAGTTGTTAATCTTTCTCTTAACAGCTGCTTACTCATTTTTCATTTTTATGAACATAAAGGAATGAAGAATTTGTAGTAGTTACCAAAATTTTAGGAGATTTTAGACTAATTAGTTAAAATACGTGATAACTCTTTTAGTCATAATTATTTAGTGGTCTCTATCAGACATTTTTATTATGTGAGTTTCTTGGGTGTTGCTGCTGTCTTTTGGCTGCTGAATCCACCCACTGTGGATTGTTTTCTCTTGTGTTTTAAACCTTTGATTGTGAGCTTATCTTCAACAGGGCTTCATCTGTAAAACTCCCGTGCAGCCTGAGTTAAGAATGTTCTTCCAGAATAGTTTTGGGTTTTCTTCTGTATGTGCACTCTATGGGGATCCCTGGCTTGGGACCCATTTCTATGTAATTTTTTGACATGTGGATTCCTAGACCACACTGAACATAAATTCAGTCCTACATGTTGTGCAGGCCTGTATTATGCATTCTCAAGGGATTTGTCTTCCTCATCAAGAGCCCAAGCATTGAACAAACCACTTTCCCTATTGGCTATTGTTTTCTTTTGCTGGTGGGCAGATGTTTCCCCCGCTCCAACCAAGAGTTTAGCCCTTTCAGTTTTGTGTGGATATCTTAGTTTCAATTTGTTACCTTGCAAGAGCTAAATTCTCATCTACTATCCTTCCCTTACAGACCAAATTCCTAGATTGCATCCCCTATCATCACCCACCATTGAGGCAAACAAAGGGTAGGCTACTCTTTTGCCAGTCCGGTTTTCAGTGGTTTCATTATTCCTAGAATCTGGGTATTTTTCTGTTGTATGAGCTCAGCTCACATTTTTTAAGTTTGTGTGATTTTCCCTGGCATTTCCAGTTGATCTAGCAGGAGAATTTCTATATGTAGTTTTCCATATTGCTGAAATTCAAGTCTGGAATTCTTCCCTCATCTATAAAGGTTTTTCTTCGCATGTTTTTAAATATCCTTGACATGATTTTTTTTAAAGGACATCACACTTCACAGTTGTTGTGGCCTTAAAATGGCATTTTTACCCTCTTTTGATTTGATAAAGTATTAACTAATTATGATATCATTAAAGTGTGCCACATCATAAATTCCACTCAGAGGCACAAAGGGAATAATAACTCTGAAGGTTGATAGAAGACTAGCCCTTTTAACTTGGCCTGAGAAAGTAGCCTTGAAGAATGCATGCCATGTGAATAAATAACCTGAAATTCAGTGTGGTCATTACCTTGTGATGTAGGGGAAAGGGGAATTGAGAAATGGATCATTGGGGGGCTTCAATTACATTTGTAATGTTTTACTTCCTAAGCTGAGTAGTATATACGCAGGGGCTCAAAGGCTCTACATTTTAAAAGATATCTGAAATATTTCTCAATAAAAAGGCTTTTAGAAGAATTATCACCATAATGCAAATGGTACCAAGTCTTTAATTTCATATAATAGAAGATACACAGGGCATTTGTCATTTGTTATGTGTATTTGTCAAGCGAAAAGACAATTTTTCCTCCTAAAGAGATAAAGGAGTAAGTTGTTTTTTCCAGCTACTGTTAAAATTTAATTATTTCCATATTAGACCTGTTTTTTTCTCATGCCTGTTGGAAATATCATCCAACTGACCACAAGCTCCAACCTATCCAGTGATTATGCTATTTCTAACTTGGGGAGTAATTCCAGCATTATCCAGAATAGCAATAGGTTGAATCTGAATCATCTTCTGTGCTAAAAAAGATCCTTTTGAGTGTTTTTACAATGAAATTCTCTGCTGATTTTCTTTGTTCATGTGAATTACAAGTGTTGCTGTTTAGTGATCTTCTTTATTCACGTCTTCTAACACTGAACTATGAAAGAGGAAGAAAGGATCGGCATTCCGAGGAACCCAGGCCCTTTTGAATGTCTACTTATGCCTGGTACCCTGCTTGGTTCCTTGCATAGACTGTTTCTCACCCTCACAATATTAAAAATAGTTAACATTGATTGTGTGCTTTCTTTGTGCCAGTTATATAATAAAATATCCTTTATGTTATGATTTTATTTGATCCTTGCAACATTCAGGTTAATTTGACTAAGCCATACAGCTATTAAATGACTAAACAGAATATTTATTTCTGAGTGACTCTGGAGTAATTCTTCTCTCTCTATCTCTGTGTGTGTGTGTGTGTGTGTGTGTGTATAAATGTTAGATTGTCTATCTATTTATCATACATCTATCTATTCTAGAAAAGTATTGGATACCACATAGCAATAATTTAATATTACTTGGGCATCAGAAAGATCCATGTAGCTGTTATGAAACATAGAATCTAGCTGATTCCTATTTACAAACAGATAAGACAAAACTACAAGGAATGGATGAGTAGTGAAAAGAAAACTGGGTCATCAGGATAGAGAAGTGGGTAGAGAGCAGAATACCTGTAAAAATCAGCTGCCTGAGGCCACTGATCAATAGGTAGTATAACCTATTGATGGTGGTGGTATGTGTGGATGAGTTAGGTATGTAGCCACTGCTTTTGTGTTTTCTGTCATACCAAAGAATAATACTGTCCTGGGATTGTCACCTTTGACCTGATCAAATAAAACCTTCCCTCCCTACATCACTACTGTTAGAGCAGAGGCGGTGGTACAGAATGGAGACACACACACACACACACACACACAAATATGGAAAGTTGGATGTCCAGGCTATCTTGTTTCCTATTTATTTACAGATAAGCTGGTTGCTTTTCAGCAAAAAAGAGAAAAAAATAGGATGAAGGGAGAAGTGGACAAATGAAGAGATAGAGAGGAGGGAAGATTGATTCAGTACAGAGAATATTCAATTATATTTCCCTCTGTGATTTCTTAATAAATAAGATGCTTGTACGACTATTCTGAGACTTCGAACTTTGCTTAGAAAAGAAGTCATTATGATTTCATTTAAACTGAGCCTTGTAAAGAACTATGGATTTCTTTCCCCCAATCTTTCTTAGAGAAATTCATGTATATCCAAATTTTGTCTTAAACAATCGTTTGTACTTCGTACTGAGGCTTGTGTTTAATTACTCTGGCCTTATTTAAGTAATTTTGGGCCTCAGGTATGTAGCCACATAGGGGCCCTTCACTGGATTAGCAATTATCATCAATGAGTTAGTATGATCTCAGTTAAAAAAATACTTTGTCTATCCAATTTACCATGTCATCTATCTGTGGTCTCATCTAAGTCCTACTATAACAACCTTAATAATAAAATTGGCTCATAAGACTCAGAGGCATGAGTGTAAGCAGATGTTTTCCTTTGCCTTCACAATTTCACAGGTGTCCAAAAACACTGTAAAGATGCAAGAAGGAGCCAACCTAAGGACAAGTGCCCCGGGGTGGCCAATAAATAGCTCTGCTCGCATGAATATTTTGCTGCTTTGTAGTTTAAAAATCAGCAATTAAATTTAAACTGGGTCTTGTGGAAAATTGTGAATCTCATTGTTCCAAGCTTTCTTAGAAAGATTCATATATATGCAGTGCTATCCCTGATGCCAGTTTTTGAGCTTTCTGTTGTCTTTTTCTGTGGGTAGCTGCTATCTTGCTACCTGCTCCATTTTACAGATAGATTTATGTTTCTGGTAAAAACTAGAAAATTTTATTAGAAATCTTTTAGCAGTCCTTTTGCATGTTTTTAATAAAAAATTATTTCAAAAGCGTATTATATTTTCTATACATATAACAGGAAAGTGAATTACTCAAATATTTTGCAAAGTATGAGGGCACTTCAAAAAGTTTGTGGAAAAATGGAATTAAAAGATGATATGAATCTTTTCATGAACGTTTTGAAGACCTGTGTACTTTAATGTTAGCAAAGTACACTTATGTCCATCGCTTCACTGATGCTTAAACTCAGGTGGATAAAGCAGGTGTCATCCCCATAGAACAGAACAGATGAAGCTGAAACCACAGGCGGTAAATGATGCAGGTCTTCTGACTCCTAAACTAGTGTTCTTTTCATATTTTGTCTTGTTCTTCAACCAAACCGCAATCAAAAGTTTCAATTTTAATATGAATTCTTGGGTTTTCATATCTGATATTGCCCTTTTGAAATTTAGGTAATCATTAGGACTGTAACTGTTAATTTGGGGGGACAACTAATAGTTGATAAATTCTCTCTGCCGTTATTAACTAACTTTGCTTCCTCTCCCTCTGTATATTCTAGGTCTCAGAAGGGAAGGATCAGATGTGAATGAAGTAGGCGAAACCCTGTTCACTAAAGAAACGCTTAACTTACTGCTGCAGATGGTAAGCATCTAATAAATGGCAGCTTCAAAGAACATTGCAACATGGTGTGGAAGTAGATTCTTAATCCAAGGTTATAAGATTTAATTAAACACCCTCTTCATTAATGGGAGCTTTGTGGGGCTGCATGCACTCCAAGTCACTTCTTCCTAGGACTTTGGTACTCTGCATAGGCTGTGTCTTCCCACAAGAACAGTGTTAGCCCCAAGTATGCAACTGTGATACCTAGAGGTTGTGAACCCTAACAGCATTGTGTTTATTTTTATGAGAATTAGGTTAGGATTAGCCTAAGCAGAGGCACCAAATAACTTAGGATCACAAGCAAAATGGGAAATAAAATGTGTTTTTTACAGAATTTTTACAGATGGATTTTGCAAAGAACAGTTAATTAACCATGGGCCCAACTGGGGACACATTTTTAATGATTTGCAGGTAGTACAGAGAAAAGCTAAATAAAAAAATTCCAACTGCTCTTCTAAAATGGGCTAAGAACTATAGCAGTGAATTAAAATAACCTGTGAATTTTTCTAACCAAGATAAAAATACCGGTTATGAAATATTTCTTTTACTCTTTGCCAATACTTTAATAGTCCATTAGGTATTTCTAGAAGGTGGGGTATTTGAAATAAAAATTTGGGCTCAAAAACCTGAGGGGCCAGAATTTTGAATAAACTGACTGAGGCTTGATAGAACTGGATGTGAAAGGAAGCTTTTTTAGTGGTGGATTTGCCTTCAAACTGAGCATGTGTTTCATTTGGATAAGTCCTTGAAAGTTCCAGGAATCACTGAAAAAAAGGACTTGAAGGGACTTAGAAATAACTAGTTTAATCCTCGACTGCAGCATAGGAACAGGCCACTTCATGGAGAAGGTATTTAATTGCTTCTGTATGACTTAGCTAAACTAGTCTATCTTTTCAGATCCACTCAATCCTTCTCCCCATTAGACCCTTGTCATAAGACTGGATTTCTTGTATATCACCTCTCTTTTGCCTGATCCAGAAATTTTTGGTTGAATGTGTTTTTCTTTATACCACTCATTATAGGAAAAGCCAGAATGAATATCTGGCCTTTACACTGTATTTTATTTTAGCTTCATATGCCAAAATTGAAGAAATTTAATCTTTCTGTTGCTTGCACTAGAAATGCAGGTAATTACATGTTTAGTATTTATATGATATATCCAACAGAGAAGCTGAATATAGTTTTATTTTTTCAGCTTTATTAAAGTTTAATCAACAAATAGAAATTGTATGTATTTATGGTGTACAATGTGATGTTTTGATATATGTGTACATTGTGAAATGATGAAATCAAGCTAATTGAGTTTTTTTGTGTGTGTGTGGGGGGGATAAGAATATTGAAGATCTACCCTGCTATTTTCAATTACAGTCATGTGTTGCTAAATGACAGGGATGTGTTCTGAGAAACGCATCCTTAGGTGATTTCATGATTGTGTGAACATCGTAGGATGTACTTACACAAACCCATATGGCATATCCTGCTACACCTAGTCTATACTTATATATATATGACTGGCAGTACAGTACGTTTATTTTCACCAGCTTCACCACAAACACATGAGTAATGCATTGCGCTACAACATTACCACAGCTATGATGTCACTAGGTGACAGGAATTTTTCAGCTCCATTATCATCTTAAGAGACCACCATCACATATGCAGTCCTAAATGTCATTATGTGGCACATGACTGTATTATTACATTATAATAATATTAATATTGTATTAATATTATATTCAATATTATTATTATTAACTATAGTCACCATGCTGTACAATAAATCTCCAGAACTTATTCTTCCCGTGTGACTAAATTTTTGTCCCCTTTCACCAACATGTCCTCATTCCTCACTCCACCCCCAGCTCCTGGGAATCACCATTCTATTCAGTGCTTCTACTGAGTTTGACGTTTTCCCATTCCACATGTGTGTGCGATTATGTGGCATTTGTCTTTTTGTGCCTAGTTTATTTCACTTAGCATAATGTCCTCCAGGCTCATCCATGTTGTCACAAATGACAGGATATAGGCTATCTTTCTTTTTTTAAGGCTGAATAGTGTTCTATTGTGTATATATATACCACATTTCCTTTATCAATTCATCCATCAGTAAACACATGGGCTGATTCTATATCTTGGCTATTGTGAGTAATGCTGTAATGAACATGGGAGTGCAGATATCTCTTCAACATACTGATTTTATTTCCTTTAAGTAAGATTTCTGGATCGTATGTTAGTTCTATTTTTAATTTTTTTAGGAACCTTCACGTTGTTTTCCATAATGGCTGCATGAGTGGAGAAAAAAACTCAATTTCTCTCATTATACTCTCACAATGTGCTTCTGACAGCTGATGTGTGGGGATTTCTCCCCATCTTTAAGCAAGCAGTCAATTCTGCAGGGGTCCTCTAGTTCAATTCAATCCTCATATTATCTACCTGAAGATAGTATCAGACCCCACAGGATGAGGACTCAGTCTGACAAGACTGAACCCCACTTCTGATGCTGATCACAAACCCGAGGTCATTTTGCTTATGCTACTGACCAGCTGGCTATAAATCAGGGTTCCCACACCCTCTCCTTGGGTTCAATTGTTTTGCTAGAGTGTTTCACAGAACTTAGGGAAACAATTAGGTTTACCAGTTCATTATAAAGGCTATTAAAAAGGATGAATACCAAGTGGAAGAGATGCATAGAACAAGGTATGGGGAAGGAGCATGGAGCTTCCATACCTGCTCAGTTGTGCCACCCTCTGGGCACCTCCACACATTCAGCTATATGGGAACTCTCTGAACACAGTCTTTTTTGGGTTTTTGTGGAAGCTTCATTACAGAGACATGATTGATTTAATTATTGGCCATTGGGGATCAGCTTAACCTTCAGCCCCTCCCTTCCTCCTGGGAGGTTGGGAGGTGAGTCTGAAAGTCCCAGACTTCTAACTCTGCCTTGGTTTTTCTGGTGCCCAGCCCCCATCTTTAAGCTGCCTAGCTACTGCCAGCCACCAGTCAATTCATTAGCATACACAAAGACACTTATCACTTTGAAGAGTCCAAGAGTTTTAGGAGTTGCATGCCAGATGATGAGGACAAGACCAAATATATATATCACAATATCACACTATACTAAATTATATTCCCACCAACAGTGTACAAAGGTTCTCTTTTCTTCACATCCTTGACAACACTTACTATCTTTTGTCTTTTTGATAATAGCCATCCTAACAGGTAGTGAGGTGATAGCTCATTGTGGTTTTAATTTGCATTTCCCTAATGATCAGTCATGTTAAGCATTTTTTTATATACCAGTTGGCCACTGTATGTCTTCTTTTGAGAAATGTCTATTCAGGCTCTTTGCCCATTTTCAAATCAGGTTACTTGTTTCGTGTTATTAATTCTTTACACTTTTGCTCCACCCTCATTTTATATTTTTGATGTCACAATTTATAAGTTTTTACAGTGTGTATCCTTTAACAAATTAATGTAGCTATAGTTATTTTCAGTAGTTTTGTCTTTTAACCTTTACACTAGAGATATAAGTAATTTACACACCACCATTACTGTATTAGGCTATACTTTTTTAACACCTTCTTTTATTTGTATGTATTTGTGTGGTACAGTGTGTTGTTTTAATACATGATTAGTTTAGGGTCGATAGCATTTCCAACCCCTGAACATTAATCTTTTCTTTGTGGTGATTATGGTCAAGATCCTCTTTTCTAGCTCTTTAGAAGCATACAATATAATATTATTAGCTTTATTTTCTTTTCTCAGGATTGCTTCAGCTATTTGGGGTCTTTTGTTGTTCCATATGGATGTTAGGATTGTTTTTTCTATTTCTGTGAAGAATGCCATTGGTATTTTGATGGGGATTGCATTGAATCTGTAGATTGCTTTGGGTAATGTAGTGGATTGAATTATGTCCCCCCTGAATTCACTGAAGCTTGAATTGTGTCCCCTTAGCTTTATGTATTAGAAACTTAGCCCCCACCATGACTGTTAAGAGGGTGGGAAATCCTATTATGGTAATTGAAAGGTAGAGGCCTAAAGAGGTGATTGGATTGTAGGACCATGCCATAGTGAATGGATTAAAAATGGTGGTCAGGGGTGTAGTTCTGAGGGCTTTGAAAGAAGAGAAGACTCTGTCTTTCTCTCTGTCTCTGCTCTCTCTGCTTCCACCATCTTGCAATGTGAGACCCCTGGGTCACTGTCGCCACCACCAGATGGACTTTGGACTTCCCAGCTTCAGAAACTGTAAGCAATAAATTTTGTTTTCTTTATAAATCACCTGGTTGCAGGTATTTTGCTATAAGCAACCTATAAATGGACTAATACAGGTAGTACGGACATTTTCACAACATTAATTTTCCAATCCATGAATATAGAATGTGTTAACACCTTTCGGTGTCCTCTTTAATTTCTCTCATCAGTGTTTTGTCATTCTCATTGAGGAGGTTTTCATTTCCTTGGTTAAATTAATTCCTAGAGATTTTTTTGTAGCTATTGTAAGTAAGCTTGCTTTTTTGATTCCTTTTTCTGCTAGTTTATTGTTGGTGTATAGGTACACTCCCGATTTTTGTATATTAATTTTTTATACTGAAACTTTACTGAATTCATTTATCAGGACTAGAAGTTTTTTGGTAAAGTCTTTGGGTTTTTCTATATATAGGATCATATCATCTATAAACAAGGACAGTTTCACTTTGTCTTTTCCAATCTGGATGCCCTTTATTTCTTTCTCTTGCTTGATTGCTCTGGTTAGTACTTCCAGTACAATGTTTAATAGAAGTGGTAAGAGTGGGCATCCTTGTCTTGTTCCTGTTCTTAAAGGAAAAACTTTCAGCTTTTCCCCATTCAGGATGACATTGGCAGTGGGTTTGCCATATGTGGCTATATGGCTTTTATTGTGTTGAGACACTTCCCTTCTATACCTAATTTGTTGAGAATCTTTATCATGAAGTGTTGTTGAATTTTGTCAAATGTTTTTTCTG